AAAGAAAGACCCAAGAAAGTGTGGTGAGATTATATTACTAAGGGTATTTGGTAGACAAATAAGCTAGTTTATAAGCTTCATGTATTTAAATAAACTTCGTTTGGTAGGACGAGCTTTTTAAAAAAGCTCGAGCTTGTGTCATAGGCTTGTTTAGGTAGCTTTTCAGATAAACTCGTTGAAATTTTTATTTCAGATAGCTTAACAGGGCTAATTTTATCGAACACTTTTATCATATAAGCTAGTTTTTCAGCTATAAGTTATAAGTTATAAGCGCGAAAATTACTGATAAGCTATAAACTAGCGTATATCAGCTAGTTTTACTAAACATAGCCTAAAAAGATTCATGAATTCCTTAATTTGTTGATTTTTGGTAATTATAGACTAAAATCTAAAAGGTAAATTAATTACCTTTACATTTGTGAGATCAACACAATGCTCCTCTAGGAAGCTTATGAATTCGTTGAAGTTCTCTTCGGTCGGGAGATAGTGACCGCTGTACGGCCAAATAGCCTGTTTAAAATCGAGAAAAATGTTCTCAAAAATCTTTTAGACATAAGTTATAATCTAATCATCAGTTTTTGTGTTTTTTTTTTTTGTGTGTTGGGAAGTATATTTTACGTCGAGAACTCCAGCATGAGCAACCAATCTTCCAGCAGCCGTTATGGCTCCGCCAGCTAGGAAGCTCGAGTGTTGAAACTGACCCTTTTGCTTCTGCCCAATGTACAAATTTCTCATCGTGCTAAGAACAAATATCCATTTCGAGCCCTCGACTGTGTCCACCAATGCACCACTTTGCTTGTACACGAGCTTCCCTTCTTCAATCGTGACTTCGTACGCTTCTCTCTCTTTCTGTTAACAACACAAAAACAGAAATCTACTTCAACAAATGCTCGTCGATTTTTTTTTTTTGGTTAAAAAAAATTATATATATTGAATCGAATTTCTTTCGGGTTGATAGGCTTACGGGTCCAAGATATTTGATGCATTGCCGTTGTAGATTTGTCCTCGGACACTTCTCGAGGTTTACTTCCTTCCCATCTCCAACATCCAACCTTTTTTTTCAAAAAATGCACAACAGATAACAGAATTAGATAAGGCACTAACAGTAACAAGTTTTGATTTTGGAATGAATTAAACTTGGATGTCGAAAACGAGTACTTGTGTGTACGCACCAGTAAAAGAAGGGCTGTTCGCTTTCGCTTTTGAACCACATTTTGTAATAGAGGTGCAAATTGTGTCCATACCGATGACGTGGATCGATCTACAGTTAAAATCGAGCGAAAAAAACAGTCGAGTAAGATCAAAGACAGTTTAACAAACCACAATTAGAGGCACTAGAGGCAAAAACAAGCACATACAAATATCTAAGTGAAAAGTTCTGTTCAAATGTACTTACAGCTTCAAGCCAGTGCCTTAGGGCCAGCTTTTGAGCCTTCTCATCCTTGGACAATCCTTTTCCAACCTGCAAAAGATTCAATTTTTAGTCCAAACCCAGAATTAAATTCACAAATATTAGATAAGAAATGAATTAAAAAACAAAAAACCTTGGCAGCTCTCGTCCGTGCCCGCGCCCACTTTGAAACGGCCGTCTCATGCTTGTCTTCTTCGAAAAACGAGACTGAACTCCTCTTAAGGGCCGCGAAATCCAAGGCCTTCCACCTGCCACACAAAACCGATTAACACTACTAATTAATTAACCCCATTAAT